GCTCCTGACCCTAAACCTCTCAAATGCTACTTCCCATATCCAGAACTTGAAAACATATTTGTTCAAGCCTTTCTGAGTGGACTGCATTGCTGCATGAAAATGATTTCAGCCATTCACAAGGACGCAGAACAACCCAGTGAACTTTGCAGATAATGGTTCTAATTTTCACATGACTGTTATGTTGTTGTGTACAGTGGATGGAACCTGTAACAGCCACCCTGCTGAATGACATCATTCTTTCCAAATAGAAAACTTTTCTGGGATGTTTGCATTAATGCCCATGCAGTGTGAAAGTAAATTACACAATGCTACACTAATATTATGATGTTAACTTCATTTAAGTCAATTTAAAGCCCCAACCAGAGATTTGTTTTTAGCACTGTAACAACAGCGTTCTTAAAATAACAACTTGACCACAAAAGCTTACACTATGTATATTTGCCATGCTGTCGGTTCATAAACTCAAAGCTAATCCTGTTTTGCAAGTCTTGCTGGAACTTTCATTACCCAACTCTTCTAATATTGGGATATTAAGTATGACATTGGATTTTTAACCATTGAATGTTGAAAAAAGGAGTTGTCTCATCCTGTTGTTTTCAGAATATCCACTCAACACTTGCTTGAACAACAGTCCCTCTTCAACTTTGCCTCGCCGTCCTCTTGTGGGAATCTCCATGCCATCTTCAGGCCTGTTCTATTTCTTTATGAGCACAGATAAAGTTAAGATGAGCCCTCTGGGCAGCAGAAGTTGCCCAGAAAACACTGCAACCTGACAGATTTCACTTTTAAAACCAACAAACAAATGGTGGAGAAGGCTGTTTACAAGCATATAGCATTTAGCAATAAAATACTATAAAATGCACAATATTTCAAAGCTATAAGCCTCTGTTTTCTATTTCCAGAAAGGATTTTAGATAGCAAACTGCACACTTCAAAAAAGATGGTTCTTCAAGGGTTTTTCAGTAAAGGCATTGATTCTGTTTAGAACCATGAGTTCTATTTAGAACAGTTTCATGCTTAAATGGTGAAATTGCTCCTCAGATTGATGGAGAATGTGTTGTATATTGTTCTATATAGAACGTTTTCGAACATGGTTCTATATAACACCAAAAAGGGTTCTGCTGTCGATACCATGTCAAACTTGTAAAAATAGAAGAACTCTTTAGAATCATATACATCACATTCTCTTTCAATCTGAACAACCATTTCACTATTTAAGCATGAAAATTGTTCTCAATAGAACTCAGGGTTCTGAATAGAACCACTGTCCTTACAAAAGAACCCTTGAAGAACTATCGTTTTAGGTGTGTACTCCATCTCTTAAAGAACTGATGATACAACTTCATTACTTTAATCTGCATTAGAAAGGCTATAACAGCTAGCAACAACAAAAATAAAGGGAATACACTACAGTTCTACAGCAAAGATTACAGCCTGAATATGAAACCTTTTACAAAATCTATGTAATTTTACATTATGTTCAAAAAAAAAAATAAATAAATAAAAATCTGCTTTCCAAAGTTTGCATGGCTAGCTGATTAGCTCACTGTGGCTAATCTAGCTGAGGGTGAGTGTGTTCAGTGAGAGAACCTGGACTACAGCTTACTATAGTGCTGGAATGCAACCTTTGCTGTATTCATTGTCGTTTTTAACCTAAACAAAAGAAAAAGGCACAAAAATAATGAACCTTGTCCACCAAAGGCATTTACACACTTGTCCCAAATACTTGAGTCCGAACCCAAGACCAGTTCTGGGCTTGTTTGGGGGTGGGCTCATTATCGCCGGGTTTGGATTACCATCTGAACCATGGATCAATTTTGCAATTCCATATGTCACTTTTCTGTGCGCAGGTTTGCAAAATGATACACAGTAGTTTCATCTGTTTGCCACTTTTTATTATTTTCTTTGGATGCCAGCACTCAAACAGCAAAGCACAGTGCTGTTTGGCTACATGGCAATCCTTTCCCCATCATTAAGAAACTTGAAAAGGGAAGTGACTTTTTAAAGACTGTGTCCACTCATTGTCCACTCTATAGACACACCTACCTCATAGGTCCATATTGTAGATGTAAATTTACAGACAATAGCTCATCTGTTGCTGCACAATTTGTGCTAGTCAGCCTCTAGTTCATCATTGGTGGTCACTTTCTGACCACAGGATGCTGCTGGCTGGATATTTTTAGTTGGTGGACTATTCTCAGTCTAGCAGTGACACTGAGTTTTTAAAAATTCCAGCAACTTTGCTGCATGATCCACTCACTACCAGGTCAGTGTCACTGCAGTGCTGAGAATGATCCACCACCCAAATAATACCTGCTCAGTGGTGGTCCTGACCATTGATAAACGGGGTATTGTTTTCCACCTATATTCCGATTTCCTGAGATTGACTGACTACCTGGGAGAATGAAATCCTGGTCAATCGTACCGCAACAGGGGGTCCTACTAGCCAATCCCAGCCCAAAATGCGAGGATTGTTGGAATAAAGGTGGTAAAAAAAACTTGATAGTTTCCCATTTACATCTTTTGCTTCCCTTATAGATTGTAGTTTTGAATGGCTTCATTGTAATCTATCTATCTATCTATCTATCTATCTATATATATATATATATATATATATATATATATATATATATATATATATGTATATAGCTCTGGATTTCGAAAGTAATGGATGATGCCATTTATTTTTGTATAATTTTTTCCTGTTTATTTGAATTAGATATGCTACAGAGACACACTGTAACAGCCATTATCTTTGCATGGAAAAAAGTAAAAGCAGTTAAATGATCCCTCTTCCCTGAATTAATCTACCAGCTGTAAATGCATGATGTGCTGAGTGGGCGCTCTCAGTCTCCCCCTGCTGTCAATTTGGAACATAACATGCTTAAAAACCACAGACAGTGCAACATCCATCTGAAATATAAAACACATTTGACCTGGGTGAACTTGCAGAGTAAACTTTAGAGAAAGCCTAATGATTTATGGAAACTAAGAAATACTGTCTGGAAATACATGTCTGGAATGTTTAGTCCATTTTAATTTAAAAGATCATCATGCTTGGTGTATTTAAACTCTGAAGACAGGGATTAGGCCTACCCATGGACTGTAGTTTCCATTCAGTGGAAAATCATCATTCAAAATGCTTAATCCCTTTCCAGGAAACCAGCCCTATTAGTATTGCTCTGCTACTTATTTCATTGGTAAGTTTTGGTTGGAATAAAAAGGGTTAAAAAGCAGTCCAACAGAACATTGTCCAATCAGAATTTTTTTCTCTGTGGTATCTAGATAAAAACAGAGAAGCAAGCTCTCCCACTGGTTAGGTATTAAGGAGCTGGACTGAAGGCCTCAAAAGGGAATTTCATTGTTTCCGAATTTCAGCATAATTTAATTGTTAATATGTAAATAAAGTCATTCAGAGTGGCTTGATGTGAAATCCTCCTTTCTAGAGAAACTTATCGAGTCATGGTTCACAGCAGTGGTGATAGGAACCAGTCTCAGTAGGGTTTGCAGGTGAATTTTCACAAGCGAAATGACATTAATTTCAATGGAATTTTCCACGACAAGTGATTCAGTGTTCCACATTTCCACAGCATACAAAATTTTATTTTATGTTATTGTATATTGTACAGAAGAGCTTATTATATAGTGCTTGTATAGCTTGTCTGTATTTGTTGTATTTATTGTCTGTCTACACTGTTAACCGCTGTCGTTCCATGTTAAATGTATGACTGCGTCCTGAGGAAACTACATTTCATTCCTCTCTCAACACATCTGTGATAAGAAGAAATGACAAAGCCGACACAATGACAAGATTACACTTTTGGGGTGTTATGTTTGATGTTAGGGCTGCTAAGACATGCACGTAACATGTTTGTATTTTGCAGATTTTCAGTGAATCTTTCAATAAGTACATAAACCTTGGTGTGCTGGTTGTAAAGCAAAAATGCTTTCTCATTTAGGGTTATTTAGGGATTTAGGGTCATATATACAAATAATCAAACACATTTGTGCTCTGTATTGGTCTTCTCTTCATACCCACTCATGTAAAGTTGGGTTAGTGTGATATGCCTGTGCTGTACTGAAAACTAAAGTGGACTGTTCACGCAAGGTCTGTCAATCAACAAGTAGTCATGAATATGCTATACGTTGGGGGTCATGCACACACAGCAATATGAAAAAGGTTGTAAGAGAAAAAGGAAAGCATAAAACACTTGTTTTAATGCAATGGGAAAAAAAGTTTGGAAGGTCACTGAAATGTATGAAACAGGTCTTTATTTTTGACAGAAAGCAACTGTTTGGGGTCTTTAAGTTAGAACACTTTCTGTAATATTTGGTGAAGTTCTACATGTATTCTGTCAACTGTCAGTAAAATATATTCACAGAGGAAAAATCCAGTCTCTGTGGCTACCCCAGGCTCTGTAAATGAGAGAAATAGGATGAGAAGGCGTGTCTACTTGCCTGTGAATCATGTTGCACTTCCACAGCATATACAGTAAGGCCAAATCCATGCTTCCACAACACACACACACACACACACACACACACACACACACTTTTTAAACCGCTTATCCTTCTGGGTCACGGCGGGTGCTGGAGCCTATCCCAGTGGTCATTGGACGAAGGGCAGGAAACACCCTGGACAGGTTGCCACTCTATTGCAGGGCAGACACACAGACATTCACTCACACCTAGGGGCAATTTAGCACCTCCAGTTCACCTGACTGCATGTCTTTGGACTGGCAGAAGGAAACCAGAGCACCCAGAGGACACATAAAAAAGAATAGAAAGAAGATTTTTCCTGTAACAGTTTAATTTTTATTGGTACAAAATCAAATCAAATGTAAATTGACCATGTCTAAACATATTTGCGACAAATTATAAGTCCTACTAGTAAAATTACATTTTTATGTTTGTGTGACATAAAAATTGCACAAAAATAAAAGTGTAGAGAACATTTACAAGATTTTTATAAATAAAAAGTAAAAAGTAAGTAACAAATTGAACAAATCACAGGATTTGTGAAAGTGACGAATGTACTTTACTTATTGGCAATCATCAGTAAAAGTGTAGGAGCAGATATGGTGAGTAAAACCATACAACTGCATATAAATCAGGACCGTAGAGTAACAGAAACAACAGAGTGTGAATTAGAACTCTTTGATTATTTGAAGTAATAAAGAGGTGTTTAATATTGACACCATAAATATAAATGCATGAAGTCTAAAATCACAGTGTGTTTACAGAAGAATGAAAAGTTTTTCATAAAGTTCTTCAAAAGTCCTATCCAGAGTGAGTGTTGTGGGATATGTAGGCCATGAGAGTGACGCTATACACTTCAGTCTCGTCTCCTTTCAAAATCAAGGGAACACGCACCTGAGCAACTTCATTGGGCTGGAAAACAATGTGAAAACACACAAAACTAATTACTGAAAAAATGTAAATTGAAAAACAAAGATAGGTTTGCTTTCTAGAGGTAACCACAAAAAACACAGGATTTAAATGTGTCCAATTAAACCACCAGTATACAGTGATGGGTTTTTCTCACTGGATTCACTTTTGTTGATTTAAAGATTCAAGATTTTAAGGTCTCCCCTTTTTGAATGAAAATAAAAAGCAACAGATGCTGTCATGTCCATAAATATTTAAACGCTGACAAAGTTATTGCTATTTTAGCTGTTTATTGCATCATATTGGAGTTGAAATAAAATAATGAATATGCAGACTTTCAGCTTTAATTTGAAGTTATTTACATCCGAATCAAGTAAACGGTGCAGGAATTACAACCATTTCCACACACAGCCTTCTATTTTTAGCAGGACAAAAGTTATTATTACATAGACAGCTGTGTGTTATTCCCTAATTATTTATCTAATAAATCACCCTAATATTGATATATTAGATATCTAATATCTAATATATCAATATTAAGTCCAAAGTAAGCTGAAGCAAGCTGTCATTAGGCTGAAAAATTAGATATAGCAAAAAATGTAGGTGTGTGTAAATCAACTATTCGGTACATTCCTAAAAAGAAAGAACACACCAGTGAGAAACACCAAAAGGCCTGAAAGACCATGGAAAATAGAATTCTTCCATTGGTGAAGAAAAAACAGACAAGAACACCCTGCAGAGGGTTGGCATATATGTATCAAAGTCAACAATCTATAGAGGAATTCACAGTAAATACAGAGGATATAAAGCACCGATAAGTATTAAAAACAGAACGACCAGTTTTTAGAGTTTGCCAAAAAACATCTAAAAAGCCTGTACAGTTATGTAATCATCTTACAGACAGATGAGACAAACATAAACTTGTACCACAATGATGCGGAGAGTACAGCGAATAGTAGGAACTGCTCATGATCCAAAGCATACAGCCTCATCTCTTAAGCATGGTGGAGGTAGTGTTATAGTGTGACCATGTATGGCTGCCCACAGACCTGGTTCCCATGATGATGTCATTGATGATGTCACTGCTGTTAAAAGCAGAAGACTGAATTCTGAAGTGTGTAGAGTGGTATTATCAGATTCTCCCAAATACTTTAAAACTCACTGGATGACATTTCACACTGCAGATGGACAATGACTCAAAGCATACTGAGGAAGCAACCCATTGTGTTTTCTAAGGCAAAGAAGTAGAATGTTCTGTAATGGTCAAGTCAATCACCTGACCTCAACCCAATCAAGCTTGCATTTCATGAGAACAAGGAGAAACTGGAGACAGCTGCGGTAAAGGCCTGGCCAAGCATCACCAGGGAAGAAACCCAGCATCTGGTGATGTCTATGGGTATCAGACTTCAGGGCATTATTGACTACAACGGATTTGCTATCAAGTATTAAAAATGACAATTTAGTTTATGATTATATTAGTTTGTCAAATTACTTTTGAGCCCCTAAAAAAGCCATGAAAATGGCTGTAATTACTACAGCGTTCAACCGGTGTGAAACACCCTCAAATTTAAAAAGTTCAAAGTCTGCACTTTGAGCTCATTATTTAGGTTCAACTACAATGTACTGTGGTAGACAGCAAAATAACACTAACTTTACCAAATATTTATGGACCTGACTATATGACGTCATGATAGTGCAGCACCTGCTATCTTCAGTCATTGGTGTCTGCCGCTGTGTGGTCAGTCAAAGTAAGCACTAGTTCCTCTGACTATTCAGAAACTTGCATATGATTCTGGGTCAAATATTTTAGACTATTTGAGACTATTATAACAGCACAGTACTGCTACAGTGGGCTGATGAGCAGGCTTCACATCACTACTGTCTTTACTGATAAAATAAAATGAGCCGCCATTTTATCAGGTGCACTTACCATCTATGTGCAATTTACATTTACAGATATTGACTGTAGTGCCTTCTGCACAATTTAGCAGCCCTGATATACACAGCCAACCACTACAGGACCACTGAGCAGATATTATTTGAGTGCTGGATCATTCCTAACCCAGCAGTCACCCTGGAATGGCAGTGGCATATTGGTGGGTGCTGGGCTGGTATGAGGGAATGAGAAATGGATGAAGGGAAAGCTCACATGTTTGACCTAAATTTCACTGTCATGGCTCAATAAATTATAATAATGTGTTATGTAATGCTGTTGGTAAACCAGACACTTTTTTGATTACTGGAGCTTTATTTATTAAGTGATTTTCTACATCAGTGAATTTCCTCGAGAGGCTTAAAATGGGGGTTAATGGAGCACGAGTGCAATGCTTTAAATTGTCTAAATATGCTTAAACTGGCATGACTTCTTAAATGTATTTCTTACATTAAAACTGCTTTGCAAAAATGATGTGGACAAAACTTAAACTGTAATTTTTAATATGTACATAGCATGTTTTATGCATACGTATGGTGTATTAAACACACTGGAGCTTTGCAGCATTGATACAGACATGACTTTAACCTTCACTTAACTTTTTAAGAACCTTTCTGAGCATCACTGTAAGCTTTTTAGGGAGACTCTGTGTTACTGTATATTTCTAAATAAAGCCTCAGTCATCTAAATACGTGTGTGACGTTACTGATGGCATGTCATTACACTGAAAAGCACATACGTAACAGCATGCAAACCAATATTCAGAGCATACGTTGTGTTTGTCATAAGTTTCAAATAAGAATAAAGTGGCAAGGGTACATCCAGGGGGATGAACAATCTATACCAGTGGTCACCAACCCTGGTCCTGCACTCTTAAAAACAAAGATGCCAAAAGGGGTATTTGTGTGGCACAATAGAGAGACCACCTCTGGTTCCCCAAAGAACCTTTTAGTGAGTGGAATGTGTGAGTGTGAAGAGCCTTGCAAGTTTTAAGCATCCACATAATGTAAAGAGTCTAGAAAGAACTTTTAACTTGGTGTATAACCTTTACACTATGTAAAGATTCTTTAAACCTTCCGAACACCCACATCTTATTGGCTGTTCAGGGAACCAAAAGTGGTTCATCAGACAAAAAACTCTTTTGTGGCATCTTTTTCTGAGGGTTGAAAAGTCCTTGACTGGCAGGATCAGCTCAATTACTGACAGGAATGAGGGGGGGAATACATTGTTAATTGCAGGCTGGAACTTAACAAGAAAGTACACTACAATGGTTATTATAGGTCAAATTTGTAAATCTATGAGAACGACTACACTGGAATGCAAATGTAACCTTGACCAAATTCATTATGTATATAATAGAGCCACTTCACTGATTAACTAATTACTTGAGTCACTTGTGTAATGCATTGTTTTTGCACTGCTCTGTTGACGTTTTACTGAATATCTTCTTTCACACTCTTTTTTCCATCCAAATACTGCATGTCATTTTTGTGTTTAGTCACCTGACTGCTTCAGTGCTGATGAGATAAAGCCAGTGCACACCCACTCTGTGATTAAAAGCTGATTGTATGTATGCTGGACAAATAAGGCCTGGTGGTTTTTGATTCCTGCTACTCACAAGGTGTCCAGCAGGGGGGGTCCAAGTGACAGTGACGCTGCGCCTGTGTCCCGCATCCACACTTCCTTTGGTGGGGTCCACACTGAAGCCATGCTGCTGCAGAGCAGCCAGGTTCTCCCAGAGAAAGTCCACATTCTGACCGAGAGGAGAGGAGGCAATCAAAAGAGAAGGAGAGGAGAGCAAAAAGGTATTAGTTAGTTTTGTTAGTACATGCTGTGGCACTCTTTTTAATGACTTTTCGGAACATTCAAAATATGTTTTGATTACTGGACATGGTGCAGTATACACTTTTACAAACTGAGCTGCCCATCTACCTTGTGTCTTAACACTGCTTTATAACATTATTTATCGTTAGACATGACAGTAAAGTTTAGATTACCTTAAAGCCAGTATAAGTCTGTTAGTTTTGAAAATTTCGAGAAATGAAACAAAAACAAGCCACTCCAGATGATTAAGATAGTGCCTGTTTGAATGGAATATTCCTCCACAACACGTTCCTATGTCTTAAATTATTCTAATTTCTACTGCCACCTCTGTTCTCACTGCAGGTTTGTTCTGAGGAATTTTATTAGAGTTTTTCCTTCACCTGACAGAAGTAGCTTTTAGAGATGATTTTCATTGGCGTCAATCATTATTTTGCAAAGGGTCAATTACCATATGAGTGTGTGTTATTTAGCAGTTGTTTTTATTTGCTTAACAGGCATTTTATAGGGTGCTTTCTATTGGGAAGAGGCTGTCCCGGACTCTGTCGCCTAAATTTTAAAGTGAATAATATTTTATGTACTATATACTACTACACTGTTTTAAACTGAAGTTAAAAGATCTAGGTTTATCATGAGTTGAACTTGTTAAATAAAAAATGTATTAAAAAACTGTTCACATGCTGAGCAGCTAGCTTAGAAACTGTCACTACCAAAACACAGAAGTAAACTTTTTTGTGTTTTAATGAAAAATATTGTGATTTTATTTATGTTAACCTGTTCAAGGCTGTGTTTAAGTAGTTTGAGTAGTGTTATGACCGTTTTTCACTTTTCTTAATAAAAATAAACATAATTAAGTCATAAAGTTACTTAAGGTAAAAGTCCAAGTCAGTTAAAATTCCAAAATGTGTATTCAACTTTGACTTTGACCCTATTCGGTAGAGTGGTCCATACAGCTTTTGTGAGGGTCTGGTGCATCTATGTGAAAGTGTCCCATTACAGAGTGTGTAGTTTTAATGGGTTGTTACCTTCTTGGGGACTGGCTGTGCAGTACGAATGCAGCCCACCTCTAACTCACGCTTTGCTGTCATCACCCTACCCTCACCATACACACTTTTCAAAGTCAACAACACCGGTGTGGGTGGCTTCTCAGCCCCTGTATGAGACAGCAAGAGAGGCATAGTATACATTTATATACATTCAGTTATAAAGGTTAAAAAAGAGAAAAAACCCTAATGGCTAATATATACAGGACTAGATGAAAGAAATTGAATTGTTAAACAGGTTTGGGTGTTCATGAAAAAATAATGAGAGATATTATATAGAGAGTCTATTGAGTCAAAGCAAATATACTTTTTTGGGAAGGACAGAGGTAGGGGTAAGGGTAGATCATTGTTTAAACACAGTACTTTTCTCCCTGGCCATCCACAATGAATTTGGGTTTACGCCAAACTGGGTGGATTTTTGATGGTTTTGGTGGCGGAAAAGTGCTCTGGCAGGTGGACAAAATTTGGGCTGGTTTGTCATTACTTTGGCAGGTTTTTAAAAAAGTATATAATATAAATAAACTTCATTACTTAACAATGCAGCTGAATATAAATTTGAATAGGTCTAACTTCTCACCACATCCAATCAGTTATCAAAACTTTGACTGACATTTCGGTCACTCCTGTTTAGAGCAGGCCATTGCTCAGCCCATCTGCGTCATCCACATCAGCATCAGCGGTTAATGCAAACATTTTATTAATGTAATTGATTTGTGTACGGGCCTAACACAGCATAGTTCACATGGCATTATCCAGGTTACATGGCATTACTGACTGTACAGAGTTCTGCAATAGCTGGAAATGAAATTGGAACGACTTGATCTGTTGCATGTCCTTGAAAGATAAGCAAGTTTTAGAGATGAGTAATGAGGACTAGTTATGCTTACAATATTATTTGTTTGCCTTTCTGCATGGCATCATGGGTCCAATCATACATGCACTAAAAAATACTAAAAAAAATTGAAAAACATCTAAAAAATTGTTTAAATTGTATTAAAATTATTTATAGTTTCTAATTATTTATAGTCTCAGTTCTCAGATTTTTGACAGGGATAATAAACATTACATTTAAAGTTTTTGGTTCTTCCTAGCTGGATAACATACTCAGAGGTTTTTCATTGATGCACGTGGTTAAATGTTACATTATTTCATATAATAATGTTAAGTGTTAGAACACTCTTTGTTTTGAACTATAGATGCAATCTGGCAACCCTGCTTGCTGGTAGTTATTTTATGAACATGCAGTACTGCAGCAACACTCAGGTGACTAGATAACACTAAACTACTCAACTGAAGTTTGTGATCAATTATTCTGTCTGTTACCAAGCAGTCTCGGTCCAAGACGCTGCGTCCACACTTTCAACAAGCACCTGGTATCTAAAGTAAGCCAAGCTGTCTACAGCGTTAAGGGTGTTTTATCAGTCTGACGGGACTGGGCTGTGACAACATGAGCCTTTCAGAGATAGGTATAGGTATACTGCGTTGCCTACAGGTTTGAGGAAAACTCGATGAGAAGCATTATAGGAGGGTTCAGTGGTTTTTTGAATATATGCATCTCTCAACATAGTACTTGTTAACTTGATCAGGTATTCGAACGAAGCATCAAATAAGTAGTCGGACAACATGTGAAACCCCAGAGAGGCATAATGAGGAAATCAGATAAACAAATCCTTCTTTAAAAAGGTTTCAGGTTGTGGAGATGACCACAGGGTGAAAGAGATACTGTGTGTTTATTAATACCAATCTGAAATATTTTTCCATTAGATTTTATTCACATGGGACAAAATGTAAATTGGATATCATTAAAATGGGGCGAAAATGTACTTGGGTGACCTTTGCCTCCAATGCGAAACACAATCAGCTGAAAAAAAATTGTGAAGCTCAAGGCATCACATTCACAAGTTATTCATGCTTTCTTGGTTCTCATGTTTTTTTCTAAAACTGGGTCCCTGCTGCTAGACATCACAGAAAAACAAAGGACTGTGGTTGGTTAATTTGCATGTCAGTCAAAAGGCCTTATCAAAGTAGGTGTTTCTTAGTTATGAAACACCCCAGACTCTCTCACAATAGGCAATATCAGGTCTGTGAGACTAGTTACCAAGCAACCACTGACATGGACTAATATCCAGAGTTAAACTTTTTTTTACTGAAGGATTCACTGGGACACTGCATGTGGAAACTGCATGCAAGTACAGATTGTGATGAGATGATCCTGCATAAAAACACATTAGTGGTGCTATGCAAGAGTGGTGCATTGCATGCATGACATTCTAAAATATTTGCTAAAATATTCCATTGGGATACTTGAATGCTATTTTTTTAAATACTGAGATTTTGCAACAGAAAAAAAAATACTAACACAATTGAATGAAGGAGAATGTTCTATTTTCAAGCTTAATTTAAGAAGCTTAATAAATGAAGTATGACATTTCCACTGCTAATTTTCTGCATAATTAAATGGTTAAGATATAAACAAAGTCATTAATGGCCCTGTGCCATTAAGACACGCTTGGGGTTTTCCCAAGTTAGGTACTGGGGAATCCTGACAAGTGAAGATGGTTCTGTAATATTTCCTGTCCAATCTGAAGTTAGTATATGACGAAGGAGCTGATAATGAACTTGAGAAATGTTATTCTGTAATAGCCACAGTGCTAAGTAAGATACTAACTGAAATTATTATGATTACTGACAAGGTAAGACTTTCTGAGGTGTACATACACAGATATAGACATAAATATAATGGTATATGACACAGGAGTTGTGCTTTATGCCGAGAAAGAGAGAAGAGCACTAGCATACCTGTGCGTTCTGTTTGTGCTGTGCTGTATATGTGTTTGGGGATGAGCGATTCATAGCATACGTCTAACGCATCCCCACCACACACAAACATGGTGTGACACTGTGCTGCACCCCGTAACTGCACAACACACACGGTTTGCTGCAGGCACGCACACACACACACACACACACACACACACACACACACACACACACATCAAAACTAAAGAACATGATAAATACATGCATGTACATACACTCATAGATGTGGGTTAATGACAAATAAGGCTTTCAAAATGAAAATTTAAAATAATCTTAAAGATTTAAATGGATAAAATGTGCATTTTTATCTACAAGAATATATTTAATAACTAATAACACTTATTTGTTTTAAACAGGAACATCAGTTTTACCACTCAAAAAGATCAGGTGGCGCAACCACACATTAATTAAAAAGTTATTTACCACTACTGAAAATAAAACTAACGTCTTTGCTCAGAATTTATGGGCCAACATTCGCAATAAGGTGAATACTTTTAAAACTGCACCTCTTTGCAACATTGATTTTAAATGTTTCAAACATAAAATTGTGACAAATTATTTGATTTAGAAATTTATTTGATCAAATTACTCTTTTTAATAGTTTACTTAAGCTGCATCTATGGTTGGATGAGTGTACCACCTGACATTTTTTAAATCTGGGAGACATAAAATGAATTTTATTGTGATGCACTAAAAATATATTCACTTACAGGTATGACCCTTCCTGTATTTTTAAATTATTTAATGTGAAAATAATATACTTAGTCACAAAAATCCATGTCATGTCATTTACCATGTATTATATATGTACTAATATGAACATGTATATATGTGTATTTATTTGGCCTGGGCAATAGGGCAATGTAATTGGATATTGTCAATGATTGACAAGTAACCAAATGACGATGCTTGAAAGGCAATAATCACCCAGTTGGGAAACCAATTTACAGTTAAACAGCTTGTTAAATATGCTTGAACTCACGTTCCTCTAAGAAATGTACAGGCTATAGAGATTTATAGAGAATTCTTGCTGTACTTAACTCACAACTCTACACTTTCCACTTATTTTACTTTATGTTAAGTTTAGCTTGAGGGCACAGAAACGAAAACAACTGCCAACATGCTTTGGAAGTTCAGTGTGCTTCAGTGTGACTCACTGCAGTAAAACAACTGCACTAATGTGACTGGGTATTACCCTAGAGCAGCTAAGTTACCTCTAGCCCGGAAGTAAGGAAAGTTCCTCTGATCAATCATCTACAGCCGGCAAACACGATCAAGAAAAGTTAACAAAGAAAAAATTGTACAGCATTTTACGTAAAGCTTAGGTGTCCCAGTGGTTTGGGTTAGTTAATTACGAAAATTGTGGAAATATAATACAATATGGTTTTTCAAAGGCATCTATAAGTGAGTGACTCTGCTGTAATGATGAAAAACACCTTGTTTTTTATGTAAAGCATGTGGACACGGCTTTGGAAACTGCAGGCTGTCTGAAGATAGCAGGCATGCAAAGTTAACATTGATTAAAATTACGCTGAAGATTTCAAAAGATGTTGGGTTACTCAGTATTATATCATTCAATATGTGATTTTTATTAATGATTTTCAGTAAAACCATTAGTAGAAAGCACATAAACTAAACAGATTAGGCAATAGGTCAAAGCTGCAGCTGACCACGTTTTTGGGGAGGTTGGGTGCAATATAATCAATAATTGCAATTTTTTAACTAGAAAATATTTATGCATGTGTAGACAGAAAAATTGATGGGTTCTGAGACATCAGTCTGAATGTGGGGATTCAACTGCATTGATTGTGGAATGTTAGAAGTAATTATAATCGATTATAATGACATTCAAAGTTTACTCATATGTAAGTATTCAATGCACTGTAATTAAATTAAGTCATTGCGAGGTCAGAGATTAACACCCCTAGTATCGTTGTTACAATATAGTTTACAGCTATCAGCAGGTCATTCTCACTTTGTTCATAAGCTGCACTCTGAGTATGTCCCGGTAATGTAGACTTTCATGGTCAGGCTGGAAGGTCACAGTGATGTCTTGAGATTTTCCAGGGCCGACAGTGCCGCCTATGGGAGATACAGTGAACACACTCTGCCCACTATAGTTCTGAGTGCCTACGAGGATGAAAAAAACAAAATGAGATGAGATCTAGTGGACACAGAATTCACAGAAGTAGAACTTACACATTTCAGAGCTTTAGGGTTTTAACACTGCATGGATTAACCATTGGTACAAAAGTACCTCACCCTGCTCAGACTGTAAACTTAAACACTGTAACTGAAAGACTACAACTGGAGAGAATATGCATTGTCGCAGAGAAACAAGAACCGATCTCAGATCATGGTTAAATGTGAAGCATGATCCATAATTCTGCCTAAATTAGCCTTCCACTCACATATTGTGATTTAATTATTTGATATCAGCATTAAGCTAGTGGAAAACAGGTGGGAATTAGAGAACTAAAGGCAACAACTTTGTTTTATTTTAAAATGTATTTAAAAATGAACAACAAGAACTTATTAAGGATGACATATTTTACTTATTTCTTCCAATTTCATATATAATATAGTTCCCTGTGCTCTCAAAAAATATTACACCCTAAATTATTCTTTGTTTGAAGTGTTTTACTCTGTCATTTCCTCTGTGAAAGACAGCTTATACAGTGGATGTTGGTTTTGTATATTAATGACCATGGTTCTTTTTGGCTGTCTCAGTAGAGGGGGCGAGGTTGGGGCTGTGGACCTTAACCGGTAGCGGAGAGCTCCACTGTGACTGCCATACAGCACAGTATAGACCAGAGGTGGACAACCCAAACATTAGGAAGAGCCATTTTGTCCTTTCAACAAAAATCAAACCACCTTGGGAGCCACAACATTTTATGTCCACTTTACTGTATTGGCTGTAAATATGTCTCAGTATGTGCTGATGTCCTAGTATAAGCTAAAAATATGACATAAACGAAAACGCAGACTTACTTTGCTCTGCTTTAAGCCTATGTTCAGCCACCGCCGCTTTTCTCGCATCTCCGGCAGGAAACGTTTTCGCAAAAGTGGAATACTTTCTTGTAAAATGTCTCTCAACGTTCAACTTTTTACGAGGTTGAAGTCAGCTTCTCATTCAAATGTAAGAATTTTCCCGTTCCACCTTAAATGGTGCAGCAGTTACATTCTGGCACCTCAGGCATTATTTAAGATGGAACAGGAAAATCTGAACAAGAAACTGGCGAACGAGAAGCTGACTTCAGCTTTGCGACTTTTTAGTGTTTGACAGTTTCTCGTTGCAGATTAAACATAACAGGAAACCAGCTGGACTGATTATCAACACAAATTATCGATGTTCGTCTTAAATCTTTCTCTTTGCCTTTTCGTTAGCTTCTAGCTAGGCCAGATTGTTGTTCACGTTGTTATGGTGACCAGCAGTCTGAGTGGCAACCTTCTGGGTTAAAGGGTGAATTAGCAGTTACAGGCTACATTAACTCCAGCGTTTAATACCATTATTATTGTTAAAACGGTGTTAGAACGATCAGCAGAGCTTTATTTTACTGCAAAGTAGAATTATTTTGTTTTTATCTAAAAATCTAATTCTGCTGTGGAGCCACAACAGGGCAGTAAAAGCCGCATGTTGCCAACCCCTGGTAAAGACCATGCATGGTAAATGTTTTTAGCCTGTTTGAACAAAAATACCATATACAGTCACAAAATTATAAGCATTTGCCAGCCACACATTACATAACAATGTTCAATGCAAAAACCTTGTAATACACATTAGATAATACCAATTTCCGTTAGCTTGGTAACAGGGATTTACCTGTTACATTAGCGTCATGGTAACAATGAAGGTATTGCTGCAGATGCTGGCCTTAAACACTGTATCGTTACCGACAATAGAGAACACCAACACCATGAAGCAATTTCTGACACGCGTACATGCCAGTATATAGCTAAAGCAGCAACTCGTCAGTGGTGTGGGATGACAAGCAGTATTAAAAATGTTCAAGGAAGAATTAGTAATTCTAGTATTTTGAGGGGAGGCAATATTAATGGATAATATGCTGGTTGGAATTCTTCCTAAGATACTGGTTTCATCAGTATGCCACAAATAAGCCAGATAATGCTATGTACAAACAGTGCAAATCACACTAATAGTAGCACTTTACCTGAATGGCTGAGCCAGGCATCTTTCAGTAATCCCTCAAGTCCTGCTGTGTAGTCAGTTATAGTCCGAGTTAATGTTAGTCCAGGTTGTTACAGAGGAAGCGAACATTAGAGAGACATAAGAAATGAAATGCAGGTCTCTTTGAGTAGCAGCCTGCTAGCTAGTGTCCACTTGCCCTGCCTGCAGTGCCCCTCCATTTTTCAGCTTTATCAGACAGTTGTGTGGTCTTGAGGCTTGGTGCTCATAAAGCCAGGAAGTCTACTGCTACTGAAACCTACTGGCACTGATGACTGTAATATGTACAAAGTCCAACAGAGTCTGACACCCTTATATGTAAGCGCAAGTGTACCGGACACATGTATGAGACAAATTAAGTGAAATTAAGATGAGAACATACATACTGCTTTTTAAAAAAGTGGAATTGTACAAACATATATTTTATATATGGGTTTAGAGGCTATTTAGGTTAGCTAGAACTGTTTTTGGTATGGGTGCTTGGTTTCAGCGGATACTTAAGAATCAGGTATTGTATCGGAAGGGAAAAGGTGGTCTCAGTCCATCCCTAGTGACAATAGCGAGAGTTTACTTTTTAAAGCAGCTCTCTGGATTAAACGCAGATGTCTGAAGCTCGATATTTAAGTAACATATTCTTTGCTTTGGATGTTCCAGTTTGAATGTTGAATCCTTCAAATAAGACTTCAACTTAAAGCCTGTCTCTGAACATCATGGGGCCTGCTAGATCAGTGATAACTTACTCCAGTGAGGACAGAATATAGTCCAGTTTGGCCAAGGAAAGCTTGTTAACACCAGGAAAAAACCACAGTCACTAATACAGATAGTGTAGACAGATGTCTAATATGTGACATTACATCACTGTTTTACACTATTTTGTCCATTAGAGATGTCTGTATGCAGGCCGGCTGAGTAGGTGTGTTTGTCGGAGGAGGGGGGGGGGTGTGTTTGTTGGGTGGAGTTTGAGAGGGGTCGCATCGTAGGACTTTGGGAAGAGGGATGGTCTTATCAACATATTGTGCACCATACCAGTTGTTCGGATATTACCACAGCACGCTGTTTGTGGCAGTGGATAGAAGCAGGCACCATGGAGAAGGAGAACCAGCGGATTGTCCGACATGTCACAATTGTGGACATTCAGTGAGGAGTGATGCCCTCCATGAGTCATCCTGTTACAGCCAGCCCCACTCGCGGACCGCTGCACGATGCAGGACTACATGCACACAGAACGTTATGACGACTGCCCATAACACCACGTCAACATCGCCAAAGACTGAAATGGTGTCGTGCCAGGCTGTCATGGAGTCACTCAGAATGGCAGTGGGTCAACTTCAGTGATGAGTCCTGCTTTTGTGTTGGTGGAGACGACCAACGAATCCGTGTGTGGAGGCACCATGGTCAGCACCAAGATGAATGGTTTGTTGTCACGCGTCACACGACAAGAAGTCCTGGTGTCATGGTGTGGGGCGCAATTTCATACGATGCAAGATCACCTTTGGTCTTCGTTACAAGCACTTACGTTACGTAGCAACGTTACGTTAATGAGGTCCTGCAGCCAGTGGTCCTACATTTTCTAAACGCACACTGCTGAGTGCTATTCCAAAAGGACTACGCTCGTCCATATACTGCTGCCGTCTCAAGAGCTTGCCTTGAAGACACAGATACTATGTCATGGCAAGCCGCATCGCCAAACCTATCCCCAATTGAAAATGTGTGGGATCCACCCCCACTGCAAAATCTGCAGGAACTGCGTGAGAATATTCAAGCTGCATGGGATGGATTATTGCAGGACACCATTAGGAACCTCTTCAACTCCATGCCGAGTCATTGCGTTAGCAAACATAGCGGCCCGACGTCATACTGAGAGACTCTACTTCTGTATGTGTAGCTCAATAAATATCACCCATATCAGTCTAATTTTTTAATAATTTATTGATCCTGGTAACCTTTATCTTCGAATAGCAATGCAATCTGACACTTCCTTCTGGGTGTAACTATTTTTTTGACAATGAGTGTATTTATACTAATTCTTTGTACATTATATGAGTTTACCACTTTTCAAATACTAGCGATTCCGGATGTTAATTTTATTACCAACTCATTTCCAAAAAGTTGGGACAGTAGGAAAAATGTAAATAAAAATAGAAAGCATTGATTTGCAAATCCTTTCTGACCTATATTCAACTGAAAACAGCTAGATATGTAATGTTTCAACTAAATAATTGTTTTTGTATATATACACTTAATCTAAATTTGATGCCTGCACTTTCCAACTTTCCTGAACACACCAATTGTTGTGAAAGCGAAATTTTTCCCATTCTTGCTTGATATAACACTTCAGCTGCTCGACAGTCCAAGGTCTCCTTCGTCGTATATTGTGCTTCATAAAGCACCACGTTTTCAACAGGAGACAGGTCTGGAATGCAGGCAGACAGTCTAGCACCTGCATTCTCGTACTATAAAGCCATATGAAAGCTGGACTCATTAGACCACAGCATACTTTGCATCAGTCCATCTCAGATGAGCTTTAGTCCAGAGATGACAGCAGTATTCTGGATGTTGTGGATATATGGCTTCCGCTTCGTGTAGTAGGCTTAACTTTTTCAAATTTGTAGATGCAGCGATGAACTGTGTTTAGTGACAAGGATTTTCCAAAGTAATCTCAAGCATTACATGATACAGTGCCGTGTGGGGGAACAAAGGTCACAGGCACTCAACACTGGTTTTCAGCCTTGCCCTTTACGCACAGACATTTCTCCAGAGAGTCTTTTAATAATGTTATGGACTGTGAGATCCCTAAATTCCTTGGATTCATGCATTAAAAAACAATGAGCCTCATTCACCAATTGTTCTTAAGAAGACATTTCTTCTTAAAACCCACTTGTGCAGTTTTCACGAAGATTCGGACATTCACCAGTGCTTTTGTATTTGGGATTTGTTCTTAGGTAAGAACAGACTATATACACACACTCAAGAACACAAAGGTGAGAACAGTTCTGCGCTTTAAGAACACGTCATGAATCTGACATAGACTTTTTCTCAGGACACATTTAAGAAGAAACTTCAAAGGATATTAATGAATGAGGCCCATTGTTCTTAAACTGTTAGACTATTCGCTCATGCATTGGCAAATACACCTTTTGTGAATGCTCCTTTTATACCCAATCTTGATCGCATCAGCTGTTAAACTGAGCAAAGTTCCAAAACAGGTGTTTTTGATCATTCTCCAAACTTCTTATATGAATTTTTAGCAGTATCAAATTTGGAATTAGTGTCCATTTACAAAAATCAACAAAATTGTTAATGTAAACTATTCAATATCTCTTCTTTGTGCTGTGTTCAATTAAATACCTGTAAATCACAGTTTACACATCACTGCTTTCTGTTTGGAAAGGGATTTGTGTCACTCTCCACACAATCAACTCAGTGTTAAACAGCATTGTCAGTTATTATGGAAGCATCTACAGCTCCATTCATCATTCTGGACACATCTAACATTTTTTCATTTTTTACAGCATCCCTGTAGTGTCTTAATATAATAATTGTATATAGGTATCTGCAGCAAAATCATATATATATATATATTAAAGTTATCCAACACAGCGCTTCTAAGCGGGTCCTAAGTGTACAGCGTATGCACAGTTGTGAAAGCAGTGAGTGTGTGTGGTTCTGCCTACTTACCCAAAGTTGTGTTTGGTGTAGAGTGTGTTGAGATGAATGCCGGGAGCAAGCGGTTGTCGCTGTGTTTGGAAGGGCAGAGACTGTCCAACAACACACTGAACTGAACAAGCAGAGAGGAAGAGTTCTGCAGCTGCACATCAGAGAAGAGATGAGGGTGAGAGATATATACAGAAATATAAAGGGAGAGTCAGAAGTGTTATACACACCTCTGGGACTTCACACAATCACAATGTATTGTTTCTTCATGTATTTGTATTTATTCATTGTTAGTGCTTTGGTGAGCAAATAAATGCTTCCTGCCCAAATGGCATTAACTGCGTTACATATGGCTTTTGCACAGTTCTGTATGTGAATTTAAAGCATTTTCTTAAGTGCAGGGTGTAAATGGTTAAAAAGTAAAAGTCAAAAAAGGAGTTTTGGTAAGATGTGTAATAATAAAGGGCTAAGGTCTTACTGTGAACACTTGGGTGGCACTTTCTTTCTCCAGCACATATCCGAAGTTCATAACCCCCCCCTCAAGTGAGCAGGTGACAAGAGGCTCAAGGCCCTCCCCACACAATGTAAACTCCAGAGCCATTTTACTGCAGCTGACCTCTAGCGTCTCACGGTACTGATCAAGAAAACACACATACATTTAATCATTATGGTGATTAACATCTCCAGCAGTTCTCTGGATTACCTATATTCTCGTCCATCTGTTCCATCCTGAAAAAAGCCTTTGTTTACATCCTGCAAATTAAACTGATCATTTAGTTTACACTTACTTTATTAGAAACATATAGCTTGTATTTCTACTCATCATCCGCCATATGAGGTCCATATAACCTACAGATCTACGTTATAGGTGTACAAGATTGCAGCCCATATGTTGTCATGCACAGTTTGCCAGGCACCCTACATTCCATTCAACACTGGACCACGAGACTGCTGCTGACAAGGTATTATTTGGGTGATGGACGATTCCCAACAAAGCAGTGTGACTGACGTACTATGAGAATGGTAGTGTTTGTGGTGCTGGAATGAGTGCATCAGGTACAGTAGCTTTCCTGGAGTTTTTAGAATCACTGCTAGGTTTTAAGTGGTTCATCCAAAAATGTCCAGCCAGGAGCTGTTGCATAGTCAGAAAATGACTACTGATGAAGGACTAGAGCTGTGGTTTCTATCCCTAGTCTTGATCCTGGTCCCTGGTCCTGCATATTGTGGTGTTTTTCTCTCCTTTATTACCTAATTAACAAGCCCTTCCTGAGTTGAATCAAGAGTATTAGAAGTTGGATTGCAAGAGCTAGACTGTGGTCCAGGTGGGCTGCACTCCTAGTCCAAGTTTGTTATCGAAGTCTCTGCCAATTAGAAGGATCCTTCAAATATAGTTGAGTAAGGCAGCTTACATTCCGACAGTTTTCAAGGACGCACCTGCAGTATCCTGCCCAATCTTAAATTCTGGACTTGTCTCCAGTGTCACATGCTTTAGACCTTCGTTCTGTGATGTTCTCTGAAATGCTCAACGTCATCGCATCGGATCTGTTGATACTGACACCAAAATATATACATGTCTAAACCATCTAATTTTTATGTTATTTCTTTTGGAACTACTCTTGTTTAGTTCATGCTGTTTTGTTTATGAATTCAGAAACCTATGTCCCAAGCAGCCTCTTTGGAAGTTCACAGAAAAACAGCATTATCCCATTTATGGTATAGATGAATGGTATTGTAGACAGCCCTATGGCCCTGTGGACTTTCTTGGTAACACACACATTAAGTTAGCATCTTTGCAAGTCTGGAGACCAGAGATTTAGATTGGGCATCCTTCACAGATCTTCTATCATCCATAATCCTTTGCACATGCAGCTGATTTAGAAGTTCAAGAGAAATGCCAGCAGATTAAATTAGCTACTATGCAATGTTTAAACAGGCCGGTAAAATGTATAGTAAAATACACAAAATGCTATTTCGTGAGTTCTTCAGTGTATCTGTTTAAGAGGAATTAGATACACTGCATTAAATGCACCCGCTGTCAGCGAGTTGAACAGGTTTTAGCTCACAGGACAGCATTTAATTGCAAGTAAATTAATGCTGTGCTTGCCAGCTTCCTATTATTAACATCAAATGGAGTTATGACTGAAGTTTGAGGAAAGACTCCTCTACCAAGGCGTGGTCTGCATTCACAAACAGTATTTTGTACACTGATCCCTTTTCTAACATCATGGGAAAACATCCTGGCTAGACTGTTCTGATTTGCATTATATAATACAAATGAGGAACCTTTCTATAGAACTACTGAGGATCAACCTTTCTCAGCTGGAGCTCAGCTTTTGTGATGCACTTAGAGCACTGGCCGCCAATGTTCCTCCTGGAGATCTACCATCCTGCAGGCTTCACCTCCAACCCAAATCTAACCACCTTATTCAGCAAATCAGTCATTTCTGAAGGCAGTAATTAGATGGATCCAGAGGGGGACAAATAGATCTGGAGCTAAAGTCTGTAGGAAAGCTGATCTCTGGGAGAAATGTTGGTGAGCGCTGAGTTAGGGAATGTGCAGGGCAGGGGTGCACCAGAACAGGATGACTAGCATAAGTTGTACATGGCAATAAATGGGCTACAGACTGTAACTGCATTTACACCTTACATACCTGGTGAATGTAATGCTTTCTTTCTAAATTTGAAAGCAGTCTTAAAGGATATCATGCCTGGTCTTGAAATTCTACTTGGGTAAGACACGTTTAAGTAAAGGTGGATGCCGTTTCTAATATACCTATACTCACTGTCCATTTTATAAGGTCCACCTAGAGTTGAGGCCTAAATGTTATACACCTAGACCAGAGTTTACTAAGCTTTTTGTTATAGCAACCATTTTTTGGGGTTTAAAGGTATTTTGTGACCACACGCCTTTTCCAAGGCACCCCCCCTCCCTATACACACTAATATAAACTTTAATCACAGAAGAACAATCAAAAAGTGAGTCTACTCACTTACTGGGCCTGCATTCTTCAGGTACCACTTCACCACAAACTACAAATCCTTAGTCTGGTGCTGAAAAATGGTTCAAGTTCAGTGGCCAATCATGACCCTCTTTCAGTAAGAAGCAGCTCACCCAATAGATCAATAGATTCACTCACAACATTAGTCTGTCTTCTGTGGCCTGTAGATGGAGCCATTCAGCCAAGCTTGTATGCGCTCGTCAAAATGATTTTCTCTGTCTTTGAGTCTTGTAGCACCACTCTCATGACCCCGGGGGATCATGTTGCGACCCCCAAGGGTGTGCCTGATTCCAAAGTTAAAAACCCCGACCTAGGCGTTAAAACTCAATTTTTCCCAGCTCCACACATTTCATGTTGTCTTATATTTCCTGTGTTAAGTCAGTTAGAATACGTCCTTCATTTCCATAAGAGCTCATTTCAAAGCTCCAATAAATCTTGAGTCTTTTATCTATTATCTTTGATGTGAACAAAGTAGATGCCCTAATTATTAGAATAATATAATAACATTATAATTAACACTTGCTAAATGAAATATATGATAACATGAAATGTGTGGAGTTCTGAAGAATTGAGTTAGAATATTCTTACCATATAGGGGAACTTTGCAGTTCCACAATTACAGAGTGTATTCAAACTTTTCAAATTTGTTAGCCCCCCTGGACCCCCATAAGACCACCACTGAGAAGGTACTATTTGGGTGGTGGATTATTCTCACACTACAGTGACACTGACTTGGTAGCGACATGTTAATGAGTGTTGCACCAATCAGCCACAGTAGTGTTGCTGGAGTTTTTGAACAGTGTCGACTTACTGTCCACTCTAGCAGACACACATATTTTATTAGTCCAGCTTTTAGATGTAAAGTTAGAGGCAGTTTGTTAGTTGTTCTTCACCGATGGACAGTTTCTGTCCACAGAACACTGTTGCATGGATATTTTTGGCAGCAGAACTATTATCAGTGACACTGGATTGTTTAAAAACTCCAGTAACACTGCTGTCTGTGATCAGCACATGCACACACACACATACACACACAATGGACAGTGAGTATAGATATAAGGAAGTGTACGTCTTGCGTCTGTGTAAGGTCTTCTGCCATTTGTGCTGCACTCCAGCAGAGGTCAGTGCCGCTCACCTTTTTTGCCAATGCTGGTACGAAAGCCAGCAGTAGCGTGTGGGTGTCTCCAGGTCTGACCTCTCTCATAGCGTTCAGCACAGAGAATGGCCCATATAGATCCAACAGTGAAGACTTCAGCTGTAGCTCAGGTTAAGAATAATACTTTTCAATACATAAGCTGCAGTGATGTAACAAACATTAAAGCTAAACTAGGTACGATCTTTTGAGTATTACAGAGTCACCTTGTAAAGCCTGAAATAATAATTTAGATAAGTCAGAGGTGTTGGGTCTTATTTTGCAGGAGCTTTCGGACCACGTCATCTGTCTTCACATATGAAAATAACACACAAATCCTTAAAAAGAAGGTCCAGCTCGATGTTTAGGTCTCAAATGCAAAATCAGTATTATACTGACGAAGATATAGTGACAACAGTGGATAATTCAGTTCTCTTTCAATACTCTTTCAACATGCTTGCAATCATTAGACCCATTCACTCTGGGAAGGGGTCTAAAACACAACCGCTGCTACAAAATGTCCTACCACATGTTGCGTGCAATTACACATTTCCACCATTTGGAGGTCTCCAAATTGCAAACTCTTACATAGTGTAACTTTAATAATAAGAACTACTACAAAAATAATTCTGGCAATAATAAAACCAATAACACTTCACATAAATCACTGTAGCTTTGAGGTTCAGTACTGAGGAAGGATACCTTCACACACTCTGATGAAATGTTCTGGATTGTCACCTTTTTCAAAACTTTCTGACCTGGAACAGCAAAACCAAGCAAATAAAACTTTAAACACTAATACTAATCAAAGATATGGAAAGTAAGAGGGACACAAATTGTGCTTTACCTACTAACACCTGGTTGAAGTCAACTGTGGTCTCCCCATTGTCAGAAATGACCACCAGTGCTGGTCTGACAGCTGGGCAATGCAGTTCCAGGTAGAGGGTGTTATAGGGGCTGTGGAGAAGGTTTTCTTTTGGTTAGCAGAGCCTCAAGACAAGTGCTGTGTTCTTTAAAGTGGATATTTAAGGAATGTTTGTTTCCTTGTTCTATGTGTATTTTCTGTTGTAAGCTCATGCAGTGAAAAAACTGTTATTTAGACTGTCTACAAAAAAATCTGAATGTTTCCGTGAGTCAAATTTGGATTGTTTTGTTTAGGAACAACACTGCACATGTCCCTTCTTGGAAGTGGAATACAGATGTTGCAAGAAACATTTCACCTTTATTTTTATGCTTTCTATATGTATGCCCATTTTCCTTTCTCTGAACTGCAGTTCACTCAAGTTATGGCCAGAAGCTTACCTGTATACAGACTCCTCAGACTCCGGTTGCGTAATGTCGCTGTTGGACACAAAGCAGGGGATGACATAACGACTGTATCGCTCTTTAAAACAGCGAAGGAGAGAGGCCTTTCCTGCTGCATACTCATTTGAACTAGCAGAAACAAAGAACACAATAATCATGTTTTTTAGTTGCCTTTTCAATTATAAACCAATTCCATAAACTGTGTTCAAATTCAACAATACCAACTACAGCTGGAAATCGAGGCCCCATAACACAATACAAATCACAATACTTCAGCCCATATACTGTTCTACTGCAATTTTTTAAGATTTGTGGTATGTTAAATTAAAAGTTATGTTTAATCCAATCAATGTGATGTAAACGAGGTGGTTTGATGTGAAATGGTTTATTGTAGAGAAACTTACAAACAGATTTCTTCACAGCTGTGTTTATGGGAACCAGGGGTCTAGATGTCAATTACAAACACCGAATTACGCAATTACAATTATTTTGCTAGTACCCAAAATGACCACTGAACTTGCGCATGTTTGATGATTTATATGTAATGCTGAGAATGGTAAAATAGTGCTATATCTGAAAAAATATGATTTTTATTTGTGTAGTTTTGTCTTACAGCACCTATTGCTCTCTGCCATGAATGGATTTAAAAAACTTTATTTTAGGCCAAAACTATTGCAAAACAATGTCTCAGACATCAGGCTACATGTTCATAACCACATCATGTAATAACTTTATATGAGGTAGCTTTTAGTGGCATTAAACTCTTTAGATGTGTGGATTTCACATCAAACCACTCTGACTTTTTATGTCTTAACCATAAATTATGCAGAAATTTTGAAAAATGGATGTAATTCCACTTTAAGTATTTTGATATCTTACAGTCATGTTAAGAAATAGGTGCATCCAATGCAATGTTTCTGTTTTTCAACATATGTGGACATATCAGCATTTTTAATATGTGAAGAATATGGACTGGACACGGCTTTTTGCAGGCCTTTTTTTTCTCTTTTGGTGGCCCGGAATTTCAGTAAACCCCTAATTGCAACTTCTCTGTTGTCTGTTGTTTCTGTGCCTGATATATGTAAATGAACTCTGTTCTGATTGGCTGCCCTGTACTGTGCCTCATTCAAAGACGAGTTTGGGCTGAAAAACTGCATATAATGTCAATGTGAATGAGGGGACTAAAGTGCTCCAGGATGAATTGTAGATATATGCAATCACATTGCTTTTCACAAAAACAATAAATTCAAAATGGGCTGCTTTTGCACTTATATACACAAATATTAGGCTGAGTTTTCATATATGTAGTGTATGGTTCAGAGAGTGAATGGTATGTTTTAAAACTCCGACAATGTTTAAGTAACATCAAACTCTTATTTAAAAGAAGTAAAGAAAATTCAGTTTTGTTCAATATGATGACTGAAATACAAAATATGAGATATCAGAACAGTGATATTTGGGCCTCCATGCATTAATACTGTTCTTCACACAAAATACCACAATACTTTAATTATGGTAATATTAATTTGTCATTTTCACCCCTAAAACTGACCCCTTCTGAATGTCTGCTGGATTTGGGGGCTGAAAGGGACTGTCACTTTTTGGGGTCAGAGATGTTTTGCTGCCCTTCTCCCTCACAGATAGTCTGCCCGAGCCATGGTTTATGGGAGGCTTCTTTCCTTTCTTTGCATCCTGCTGCGTCTCCTTTTTGTTCTGAAAGCACAGGAAAAGTAGGACAGAAATGCTTTTGCTGGCTCTGTCGTTTTCATTTGTGGTGCTTAACTGCAGTCAGAGAATACAGCTTTTTCATTAAATCACTTAAACTGCCTGAAATCCTAATAAAACTGGACATCTTGATAAAATCAAATGAACATAATTTTCCCTTTATCCCAAATGTAGTTGATCAGTCAAAACATGTTTGGTGTCTGAAGTTTGCTTCTTTAGTTTTGCACTGGTGATACAAGGATAATGTAGCTAACAAGTTATGTAAGCTCATAAGTCACCAACTAGCATCAAGACGGAAAGCCTAAATCATCACACACTTGCAGTGCTGCCAACTCTCATGCATTGGCAGTGAGACTCACTCATTTAGGTCTAATCTCATGGTCTCGTCTCTCCTCAAAACCTACCCTACTGAATAATCTGAACACCCATAAAGTTTCCTACTACTGCATAGTGCTACAGCTTTCATGGATTAAAAAGGTAAACAATACAACTTGGTCAGTACACTACACATGAACAAAAAATAAAAACAAGAACAGCGCTCATGACTACACACAGCAACATTGTTGTGCTGCAAAATGTGCACGGTTCTGTTTTATTCACAAGCTGAACAATAACCAATGGTAAAAGCAAGATACCCTTACACATTTTTACTGTGTAGTTGTTAGCTCTGAAATCTTTGCCTATCAACTGCACTGTTGGTTACTGTTAACTAACACTTTAACTGGTCTATATTCTATATCCTCTGTAACTGGACTGTGTTGGGTGTTGGGTGTGTTGGGTATCACTCCTCATCAAGTCACTTAATGTGACAGAACATTACTGTATGGGTAAATTAAGTGATATATATATATATATATATATATAATATTATATATATGGAGCTCTAGTTCTAGTTCTAGTAGCTCTAGTTCAAGACCGCAGAGACATGTCTTGTCTAACTGACATTTGTGGTAAGGGGAAAACTGTGATTTTTTTTTTTTTTGCCAAAGTATTGATTTAAATCCTTTCATATTGCCTAGAATACAGAAAACACACTGGTATTACGTAGTTGAAGAATGCTTAGAGTGGTAAATTCCTACCACTGTTTTAGGCTCTGTGCTCTTGCTGTAGCTGGCCTCAGCATTAGCTTTCTGAATTTCCTGCACACACAGCTCCTCACTATGGCACACCAACCGAACAGCCTCCGCCCTGACGTCATCATCAGACAGAGATGGGCTGAAAGTAACCTGCACCAGACACCTCTGTGGACAATCAAGGAGCATTAAGCTGCCGTGGGGCAAAAATGTTATAAGCGTTTCTATATACACACACTGGTCACTTTATATGTAGCCAGTATTCAAATTATCTTGTATCTACTTTAATTGTCCATATATCATTTCCACTTACCATATATGCACACTCTGCTGATCTACAGTTACAGATTGTTGTCCATCCCTTTCTCTGCCCCTTCTCAGTGGGGCATACAGTTGTATGCAAAAGTTTGAACACACTCAGTCAAATTGCATGTTTTGTTGATTTTCTAATAAAAAAAATAAAAAAAAACTAGGATTGTTTCTATACAGGGAACCTGAATATGGCATTATTCTTAAATTTAGCTGCACAATTTCTATTTAGCTGTTGTGTTTCAGGTATTGGAAAAAAGAAAATCTAATCTATAAAATGTGCCATAAGTGCGTTCTCTGTAGAGGGTTTATAAACCTGCTTTCAACAAAATGTATATTTTGACCAGGGAAGTCCAAACCTTTGCATATGATTACGTTCTTCTGTTCTAGTGTTGGGGACCCAATGCAATGCATAGTTTCTGTGTTTTTCCTTCTCTCTTTAACCCTTAGAAGCTATTGATGTTTCACTACATGTGATTTATATTCATTTATATAAACATTATATAACATTACATAAACAAAATTACATATTCAGTTACATTTAGTTATTGATGGAAGGTTTAGAATCTGCACATTCAACAGAATGTTTTCAACTTCTTTCAATAAGAATAATTAATATAAAATTGTATTGTTATTGACATTTTAATTGCAACATGTAAGGGCTGTCTTGGGGCAAAAATCTGACTAAACACCAAAATATGCATTGTTTCAGGACCCCTGGACAGGAACAGAGGACCACTGTGGCGGCATAAGTAACTTATGTAGCATCGTATAGCATGACTAATAATAATAATAATAATAAATAATTAAACAATAATCTGCACAAAGGCAGTTTAAATCTTGGTTACATTTACATATGATGCTATCAAATCAACACAGTGAAACACTGCAAGCTTCACTGCTTTGGCTGTAGTGGTCAGTACCTGTCCGGGCAGAACGCGTCCTGTAGCAGGGGTCACCGTGATTTCAGAATTTTCTGGCGTGGCGAATGCGAAGAGTCTGGGACCCACAGAAGGTATGGGGCCATTGCCCACCCGCGGCACAGCATGTGTATACTCATTGCAGCTGGTATGGGAGTTCACCACATACAGCACAGCAGTGGAGTGGTCTCCTACTGCTGTACCACCAAACTGCACCACTGAACCAGAAAGCTCCAGTAAAGGGCGGACACCAATGGCACGACATGATAACATGAAGTCTCTAAATAGAAAAGTAAGGAAATATTACCATCTGTTTCAACTCCGAGCGCACTGAAAGAGTATTCAAAGAGAGCTCAGTCAAAACTTGGTGAAGGGCATGTCTTCTGAGGACGTCTGGCCTTCACCAAGTTTTGACCGAGTTCTCTCTGAATACTTTTTCAATGTGTTCACAATCATCAGATACATCCTCACGGGGAAGGGATCCAAAGCACAACAGATGTTACAGAATGTTCTTTTGCATGTGGCGTGCAAATACACATTTTCAGAGAGGTCCTCAAATCCTCAAAAGTTGCATAGTGTAGCTTTAAAAAGCAAATAATGTTCTTTATGTTGAAACTATAGAGAAAGTATAGCAAATGTGCTAGTGTTTTTATGTGTTTATGTAGCTCACACAGTGTAAATTTGGGGTAAAAAAGGGCTGATAAAATCAGTCTCAAATTTGAGCTTTGGTGGCATATGTTGATTAAGATATTTGAACGATGTAACGTTTGAAAAAAATAGTATTAAATAGTATTAAAATAAATTCAAAACAAATTTCATCCAATAACAATTACGATGGGATTGAAATTGAAATTAAATTAATGCAAACATAAATGAGTAAATAAAACATAAAACTTACATGTAACCTACAAAAAAGTTTGCTTGTGCCTTACCTGTTAATTCCAGACTTGCAGTTCAGCTTAAAGTTGTATTCTCCAGCTTTTGAAGCACTGAAGATCAGATCGATTTCCAGGGTTTGCAGTGGGAGCAGGGTGCCAAAGCCATCATTAGGCTGAACATCAATGAACTACAGAGAAAAAAGTCAGCTGTTGGTATTGGCTCAGACTTAGCGATCATAAAAACCCCATAAATCTTGCAAGTTGTGAGAGAAAAGATCATTTGTAACTAACACAGTCTAAGGTGTTAGACAGCTCTGGTCAAAACTATATTATTACAGCTCCATATAAAACAGAAACAAAACAATTAAAAAAAAAATCAAAGTCTGATCTGTGTTATTGTTTTGAACTTGTATGTCCAAAAATATTCAGACAAATCTTTTTACTTTTTTTAGGACTTTGTATGTGTGTCCTTTGCTGACACAGGTGTTTATTTGAACACACAGCATGTATAGTCTCCACAGAAAAGCAGTGACCAAAAAATGGGACTCTGCGGAGTACCTGCACATGCGCCTAAGATCACCATGCCCAATGCCGGCTTGTGTGGCTTCCTGATCCAGAACTATTCCACTTTTCCACTTCGCCTCAGCTCATCTTAAATGAGCTCGGGCCCAGAGAAGACGGCAGTGTTTCTGGATCCTGTTTATATATGGTTTCTTCTTTGTATGGCAGAGTTTTAACGTGTTTGTGTGTGCAGCGGTGAACTGTGTTCACAGTGGTTTTTGGAACCGTTGCTGAGCCCTTGCAGTGATTTCCACTTGTCCCTTGCGTACAGAGATTTCTCAGGATTCTCTGAATCTTTTTAATGATATAGATGATGAAATACCCAAGATCTTTGGTATTTTACATTGAGAAATGTTATTATTAAACTGTTCATTTCCATGTTGCAGTACCCACACTACTGAACTAGGGATCTCTATGACATGACTCATCTTGTGACATCACCTTCTTGCAGGTGATAGCTTAAATCTAGCATTTTATCCAAGTATTTTTGGAATCTGTGGTCCTTTCCTGAGGCAGCCAAGTCAGGGACAGATGGATTCTTCCCCTTGATGACCATGGCATCTTAGGGGGCCAGGGCACTGCCCACAATGGAAATTTTAGGCAGAAGTAGTCTATTTCTGAGAAGGCCCATGGACAGGTGCCATACAAGTGACCTTTACCTTTGCAGGACAGATTTGAGAAGGATTGTGTTTATGCTGCATGGAAAGACTGTTTGCCTGCCATTTTAGCTTGGCGTGTCACTTGTTACAGGGTGACACCAAAGAAGCATCTACTGATGAATGATTTCTTCAGGGGTTGTTCACATGCTTTTTTTGACCCTTCACTCTGCAAACTGCACATACTTTCAACTACTTACTTATTAACAAATATTTTTAGTGCATATACCTTTGCTGTACATTTGATTTAATTTTAATTCAAAATACTTTTGTATTTAAAATCATGTAGTATGTTCTTTCCTTAAGTTAGGTGTTGCTGTTCAGTACAATATTTGTAATAACAAGCATGTTATTCATAGTGTAATCATACTCTTTCACATATACTGCAGAATTTCAAATATATTGTGTGCCTTTCATTTAACAGTAAAAGACATTATTACATCAGGGGTACATCAGTGATATTATATCAGTGGAGGAGTGTTATTGCACTACTGGAAAATGTTATCTGTAATATCACATTATATGCTAAAAATTGTGATTGAAGGATTATGTCATCAGTAATTTACTGTTATCAGCTTAGTAACAGATCGTAGGTGGATCTGCAGTGGCTAAAACTGGAATAATTAATTTCCTAAAACAGTCTCTAAAGTATCGTGTTAATATGCATTTTGGAAAGCCAGAAATAGCTGATGAGATCATGTACAACACATTAGTGATGCCTTCCGGCCACACTATCAGAGAATAAGAGTGTCACTGTGTGCATGACTAACTATGGGGGGCTTCACACTCTTTCTGATGGGCTGGGATAAAAGTGCAGCAGATATTAAGCATACAAGCAGTATTCATAATAATATTTGTATTTTTATGAGGAATAATAAATATTGGTGATATTTCAAAATGTAACATAAACTAAATGGTGCAGAAATGGATGGAAAAGTCAGGATTTCCGAAGTCTGAACTCAAAATTCTAATAATTATGATTTTATATTGGACATACGGTACTATGCAAAGTCCTAGGCAGGAATGAAAATTGTTTAACATGGTTATTTTGGCAGTTAATGTGTTTTGCCTGTAAAAACACTCTATAACATTAGAAAAAACACAAATCATTATAAATGCCCAGATAAATAGCTTTGCATATCTGTATATCCTGTATTAGTTTTGTGCTGAGATGTGCGCTGTAGTTCTTGACTTAGTGCTCTCAGTGACATATGTTAACGCTGTGAGCGGCATATGCTGTGTCTTTTGGTATCATGCTGTGTTCTGCTGTACACTGGTGGTCAAAAGTACACCTGCTTGAGGTTTTGTTTTGTGATGGAGGCTTTTATGATGATCTAAACCTATTAATCCTAGTAATATACTGTCAGGTCCCATCCATCCATCATCTAAACCGCTTATCCTTCTGGGTCGCGGTGGGGTGCTGGAGCCTATCCCAGCTGTCATCGGGCGGAAGGCAGGATACACCCTGGACAGGTCGCCAGTCCATCGCAGGGCAGACAAACAGACATATACATCCACACACACACTCACACCTAGGAGCAATTTAGCATGTCCAATCAGCCTGACTGCATGTTTTTGGACTGTGGGAGGAAACCGGAGTACCCGGAGGAAACCCACGCAGACACGGGGAGAACAGGCAAACTCCACACAGAAACGACCCTGGTCACCCAGCCGGGAATCGAACCCAGGCCATTCTTGCTGTGAGGCGACAGCGCTACCCACTGCGCCACCGTGCCGCCTTCTGTCAGGTCCCTACATATTTAATTAAGTCAATAAGCTAACATAATCATAAATTAAACTGTCATTTTTAATACTTGGTTGCAAATTCTTTGCAGTCAACGACTGAGAACCGTAGACATCATGCTAGGTTTCCTCTCTGGTGATCCTCTACCAGGTCTTTACTGCAGCTGTCGTCAGTTCCTGCTTGTTCCTGGGGAGTTTTACCGTCAGTTTTGCCTTGAGTAAGTGAAATGCATGCTCGATTGGATTGAGGCCAGGTGGTTGACCTGGATACTACAGAACATTCCACTTCTTTGCCTTAAAGTCCTGGGTTGCTTTCACAGTATGGTTCAGGGCCACTGTCTATCTGCACTGTGAAGCACCGTCCAATAAGTTATGAAGCATTTTGCTGACTATGAGCAAATAATATAGCCTATATACTATAAGAATGTACCAAACAGTTGATTTGGCCATGCCTAATATTTTTGCTGTTTCTCTGATGGGTTATGATGTCTTGCTTAACTGGCAGTGACAGCTCTTTTGACTACATACTGACAGTTAACAGCAACAGATTTCAAATGCAGATGCCACACTTGTAGCCAACATCTGCTAACTTGTAGGTGAAATAATGAGGGAATAACACACACCCAGCCACGGAACAGTTGATCAGCCAATTGTCCAAATACTTTTCAGCCCCTAAAAGGAGGGGCGGGGGGTGCCAGCTATGAATGGAAATGGCTGTAATTCCTACAACGTTCACCGTATTATTGATGTTCAGAGATTTATGGACCTGACTGTATGTGTGTTCTTATACAAGCGCATATAAGCAGAAGTGCATTGAACATTTAAAATATTTTAAATAAAAAAAGTCTGACACATTATGGTGAAACTGTCTATGATAGTTATTTGATTATTTATCTTTTCCCTTTGGGAAAGCCATTCAGACATATACTTTCAAAAACTGGGCTTAGTATTGTTCGTTAAAGCTTCAGATAAAATCAGCAAAGTTATTTATGTGATTTCGAAACACTGTATTTAATATTTTTATGTTGTACATCATTCAGACAAGCCACTCTACTGAACTTTCTTCCTCCTTTACCTACCTTGTATGTGTATATTTTAATTTTACTTAGTTTTATATGTTATACTTTTATACTCCTCTCATTGTATGGATTTGGTCAATTCAATCAGCACCGTATTTAATGCAGGTCTGAAAATACATTAAGTAATTTATTGCCTTGTGTTTAAAACTACTAGTAACGCAAATTGTAGCTATTTTGAAGAATTCAAAATTCAGAGAACACTCAGTTTTAACATTGTTTTTTTTTCTCTGTAAATACATAAAAAGTACTTCAAAAACTTCAATGATTTTATGAAAAAAGGGCACACTATAGTTCCTAGCAAATGTACTTAAGCTTTTGACTGGCAGTTTATTGAACTCACCTTTGGAATGCCCACAAAGCCAAAGTCCTGTGGCAATAAAGAGTGGTTGGTGAGCCGGATGCTGGTCTGGACCGACTCAAAGACGGAGCAGTGGCCAAAGTCCACCTCGGTGCAGTCAAACTCCAGATCGGATGTAGTGACAACTGCGTGGACTGTGAATGGAACGGGTCTCACCTAACAGAAACATTCCAGATTGTCAGTTTATTACCACACTTCAAATGGCCTGTCTAACATCTCATTACAGATGAGAAATGAGTTTGGGTTTCATCTAAACAGGAAGATGAAATGAGCCATAGAAGTGTATTGATGGCAAATATGGAGATACATGATTTTTCTAATTTAATATATTCTGATATGAAATGTGCAGATAGGGCAAGTTTAAGAAATGAACAGCTATAACACTAAAATATCGACAGCTTGTGTCTCTATTCAATAAGTGCCCTACTTTGACACAAATGGCCTTGTTTACCTACTGGCATGATTCATAGTTTGGAAAAGAGGGAGGGAGAAAGGTGTGATGGAAAGAATGTGTATTTTTTTACATGAGTTGTATATACGGAACAGAAGACTTCAAGCTAGTGCTCTGGTTTGGTAACAGCATTGTGTGTATGTGAGTGGGGCATGCGTGTGCATGTATGTGTGTTATTTTGAGTCTCTCAGGCAGAAGGACAAGCAGGCAGGATACGGGCGTGCGTGTTGCTGTATATCAGGAGGTGTCAACCAGCAGATTTGGGGCACACACTAATACCGGTGTAGGGCACAATTTTGTGTGCATACGTACCTATGAATATAGAATAGCATGCAAAAGTTCAGAATGACTGTTTTCAATAAAATAAAACCACTTCTGCTGCAAATAAATGTATAAAATGATTCTAATATGATGTTTTAGTGCTGGTAATATTATTTATTATATACACATACTGTATGTTGTATGCAAAAGTTTGAACACTCCCAATTATATTACAGTTTTCGTAATTTTGTCGAAAAAATGTGAAACAACAGTTTCAGTTTCTGTGCTGCATTTGGGACATGTTGGGAAAAAAACATATCAAATAAAAAATGCGCGTTAACTTTTGCACAGGCCACATTTTATGTTTTTTTTTAATATGTTAAATCAGCAAGTAAACAGTAATTGTGCATTAAAATGTGCAGAAGAATGTTCTCTGTAGAGGATGTGTACTTATTTTCACCTAGAAAATCAACCAGGACTTTTGCATACAACTGTATGCATCTGAAGGGCTTCATTTCAAATTATACACCACTTTCAAGAACTTTCTTCTTTTTCCCATTATGTCTATTGTTCAGAGTGGGCTTCACACATACAAGCCAGTTCAGTGCTATATTATAATGAATACCTCCTTTATTAGAGAAATAAAAATGTGTTTTCTGTAAATATTGTTTTCAAAAACCCCTTTAATATAGCATTTTGGAATGAAACTTGTGATATATATTTACTAGAAAGGATATGATCTGCAACTATGTATTGTACAATCTACCAATGCACTGATATTTGTTTTGCAGCTTTTATAATAGTTTTAATTCATTTTTAAACAGAGTCATTAGTTTAACCAGACAATGTCAAATATCAAGTGGTGCAACCAATATAAATATTATATTTTAAAAATATCATCACAACTGAGAAAGTGTATTAACTAGTCTTTGTACTTGGACACTCGTATAGACCTTCATCCTTTGAGCATTAGTTTATATATACTTTATTTGAACAAATAAATTATCATAATAAAAATAACACTTTCATGGTTTTCGCACCACACGACTTGTTAAACTGAACCAGCCTAACCATGACATAAAAATGACAATTTTTCAGTATTTGTGAAAGGGAGACTGACCTTGGCATTGCACCAAGAAGGTCAATTGGGGTGTTCTTTATAATGCAATACCCCATCAACTCTTTTTTTAAAAGCATGTCAGAATAAAAGCCCTCTGTTGTCAGCTGAGCTGTGTGACATTTGAATCAAGAACATGAGACTTAAAAAAGGTTTTTACTTTATATAGTCAGGTCTCATGCAACGTTCTCAAGTCTTCCAGAATTATTTCCTGGCTTGTCATATGTATGGATATTTGATGAGTGTATGAGAGGACAAGGTAAGGGGGGGTTGTGGTTCATGCCAGCACTCTGGTCTGGGGCACAGGTTTGAGCTCGGCGTGTGTCCTGGCCTGGAGGATGATTCCGCCTGGGTGAGAGGACGAGCGGATGAGGTGAGATCCTGCTCTCCGTGGACACACGCTGAGAGACGGAGGAGTGGAGGGGGCAGGATTTTGGAAAAGGAAAGATAACCAGCGTCCAGTTCTGGGGATTATGGGAGTACGTCCTGCACTCGTATTGAACCCCCACCTCCCTCTTCACGCTACTCAATGTGCAGCTACAGATAACTAAAGTGCTCTTGAATATAATCGACCCATGCAGTAAATAAGCACAGTCTCTTATCAAAGTAACACAGTGTGGCCCAGTTTGGTCTCAGGGAAGTCAGGCATCTTGAAATGAGCTGCATAAATATCATATATTATTCAGCAGTTTGAAATACTTTATAGCTAGATATGCTTAACTGTATACAGCAGATATAAACAGCAGGCCTAGAAGCTCCAGGTAACAAAACATTTTCAAAACATATTCAATTTCATGTTGCAGAGTGGTTTAACATAAGAGTTTGCAATATGAAATGAAATACGTGCTTAGCCGAGTAGTAAAGGAATGACATGCTAACATGCACATCCATTTGAGATGGCACCCATCTGTTATGTGGTATCAGTAGTGAGTTGAAATCAGCAAAAATGCTGTTTCTGATAAATAAGGGAAAAAAGAATGAAATCAGTCTGATTCACTGTTAGCTATCCTCCTGTGGGGGTAGTAGTGGGAGTAGTTCGAGCAGTAGTCGGTAGTAGTCGGAGTAGTCCTACTTTTAGATGTCCATCTAGTGAAGTGCTTTAATTTAAAACAGCTAATTTGTAAGAGAAAGAAAACACAGAAATCAGAAAATAATCTTTCCTGTTTTGATGCTGAAATGCTTTTGTGCCAATGTTTGCAATCAATCTGTCAACAGAAACCTGAGTCTACAAGAGAGAAATGCTTTAGTCAGACGATTCTATTTATAGTCTACACCAATTAGTCACACTAATAAAAAATCATTCCATTTCAACTTGTTAAGTTTTGTTTACACTATCAAATACAGGCATAAAACCGCAAAGCATTGATATAACATAGCAATGCTAAAGGGGCAGGGATTTCAACAATAACTGGGCTTTTTCAAGTAGTGATTATAAAGCCACAGGCACACGTCCTTTGAGGCTCTGCACTTTCTTAAGAGGTTTATTCTCATAACATTGCCATCCCCGCTGTACTTTCAGCTTCACTCGGCTGTACTGATGATCATGAGAAATAAAACGTTAACAAGTAAGCACTTTTTCCGTGACTTAGCTAAAGCAGCAATGAACAACACGTCCATTCCTCAATCGGCTATTTTGACCACAATCTCGAAATACAGCGGCCATGCAAAAAATAACGTGGACAGGACAAGTTTGTGTTACATCCTGAGCAAGAAGAAGGTAGCGATGCACTGGTACAACAGGATTTAGTACTAATTTCACCTGGAAATACTGGAAAATGGATAAGCTGACATTTCCACGTCTTGTGGCTAATTCTAGTTAAATATTCAAGAACTCACACCAGCCATATATTTCATTAAACCTCTGGGGTCCACGAACACTCCCACACGTCAAATTCAATGTTTTTATATATGTTTTGCTATCTTTGTGATAATACAGTGCAGAAATATGGTTCAAACATTTCCTGAATCTGTAGAGTCTTATTGCGAGATTGTTTGTTACTCATCCAGAGTTATGAGGCTATGAAGAGGGGTCATGATACACGTCACCTGCCTCTCACTATGTGCAATTGGTAAATATTTTTCTCAAATCGCTGTGTGCCACAATTGTTGGCTCCCCTAGAAATTCTTAAGAGTGAAGTCTAACTGAAGTTTACTTGAGCAATTACGGACACTTATGGTCAGCCATTACTTCCTGATTAAGTAGGGTATATATATGAGATGAAACACCAGTCAAATTTCCTCAGTCATCCATCATGGTCTATGAGAAAGACCAGAGAATACAGCAATAATGTGCAGCTCAACAAATTTTTGCTGCACATTATTGCAGAAAATGGCTACAAGAAAACAGCTAAACAGTTGAAAATGTCCCTTTCACTATCAGGGCAATAATAAAGAAGCTTAAGACAGCTGGAGATGTTAAGAATCTGCCAGACGAAGGACGTACGTGTATACTGACCCCACGCACAGTGAGGAGGATGGTTTGAACGGACAAAGAATCTCAAAGGATCACAGATTGGGAATTGCAGAAATTAGTAAGGTCTCTGAGTCACAACGCCTCCCAAACCACAATCAAACACCACCTATGTAACCATGTTTGAGGGGTTGCCAGAAGAAAGCCTCTGCTGTCAAGGACCAACGAACTTAAGCTCATACAGTTCGCCAAATATTACTTGACTGTGGTCAGATGAGACCGAAATAGAGCTTTTTGACAACAAACAGCAGAGGTGAGTCTGCGGTGGACTCAAAGATTACCATTCAGAAAAGTACCCCATCCCCTTTGTAAAGTATGGTGGTGGATCTGTGATGCATTTGGGCTGTTTTAATTCCAAAGGCTCTGTACAAATTATTTGGATAAACAGTATCACAGACACCATCAACTACCAGCAGAAATAAATTTGCTGATGACTTGGATATTAGTGTCTTTCTTTCCCAAGTTTCTGCTGTGAACACAGTGTATGTTCTTTCTCATACTCGTGCTGCCAGTTTTACATATAATGTACAGGAATTCATCTTTTTACATGACATTCAAGTGGAATTTTTATAGATTTTGGGTTGTGCACAACGCTGAACAGCAGTCTGCACTATCCGTATTTCCCTCTTTTAGTCATGTGATGCAAATAAGATCTGCAAAAGTCATCAAGCTAATCAAGCTAAGCTAACCTCCACCAACTAACTGATAATATGATTCGTTGCCAACTATTTTTTATTATCTACCTTCTCGACAATGTCAATTAATCGTTGCATCCCAGAACAATATACTGCACTGTTCTGCCCACACACACTCACAATTGACTATGTTTACATCGATTCAGAGGTAGAATCAAACAAAGCTTCAAATTTTCTCCAACAAGTGTCAATATATGAGCAAAATCACTCGTAGCAATAGCACTAGCTTCTTATAGCTTATGGCGCCTTATGTTGAATCTCTAATTAAGAATTCTAAAATAGCAATCAACTCATCAACACACACTCCTAGCTTAAAGTCTGGTGCTTTTAGTGCTCACGTAATATTGGTTGGCAACATTTACGTTTTGTCTATGTTTGAATTTATTGTAAATTGTGCTGTAAACTAAGCTGCTTCTGTGCTGACTAGGTGCAGAAGTATAACCAACCATTATGTTTACAAACATTCTGATGTGGTATTGAATACAACATGCTGACGAATACTCGAGTACTGTAATTATTAGTACCAGCTTCAATAGTTACTGAACAATTTATAGCAGTTACTGAATAATGAGGTTTAAGATTAATAACTGAACAATAAGCCTGCAGTTAAGTGGTTAAGTGTGTTGCCTTGCCAGCAGCAGAGAAAGCTTGACCTATAACAGAAACCGATTAGAGAAGGAGCTGAGAGAGAGAGAGAGAGAGAGACTGTACATAGTGCCATGAGCTATTTTTCACTGATCTGGAGAGCACATGAGAGGCACCTACCTGATCGGCCACCTGTATAAACAAAGGGACCTCCAGGACCCCTGTTTTCTGGTCAAAGAGGGATTTGGCATCCACTGGCAAGCTACGTCTATTAAAAAGACATACACGACAAGGAAAAGGGAATATTATTAATAGCAGTGTGCTGATGTAAATTTTGATTTCATATGCACAAGCATGCCAAGGTACGGGCAGACATGCTTAATCAACAGGGCTGTTATTGGCCACTTCTTTTAAGCTCAAGGCCATATTTCAAAAATTACCTTTTGCAGCAGCACATTCAATCAAATAGCTGAAATATTGCCATTTGCCCATGTCTGCGTGGCAGAGGATTTCTGCTTTTATCACAACTCTGAGAGCAAAACACTCAAGCATCAAGCACGCTCCAGCGATAAAGTGCCCTTCCACTAATACACTAAAGTGGATCTGATGGTCTATAGCAGGACTTAATGCAGTGAGAGAGAGAGAGCGAGAGAGCGAGAGACAGAGAGAGAGAGAGACACAGATAGGTTCAGAGAGGAAGAGAGGGTGACAGGGTGAAAGAGGGAGAGGGGAGATGGATAGATAGATAGATAAACAGACAGAGACAGAAAGAGAGCGAGAGACAGAGAGAGAGAGGAGTTGCACTAGTAGAAGAGAGTGTGGTAACCATGGTGATTGCGGGTGTAGGGTGCAGTACAGTGGGATTCAGACAGAGGCGTGCAGTGACGTTATGTAATGCAATAAGCTGAGCTCAGTAATAGCCCTGAATTAAAATCATCTACAGTGCAAATGCAGTGCCACCCTGCGAGAGGTCAAACACAAATACAGGCCTGAGCGGATGGCAGTGGGAAACGGTTTAGTGAGCAATGGTCAGGCTCGGTCAGTGCCTGAAAGCACATGATGTACACACAGTAGCAGCTGCGCTGACACAAGGAATTTTAATGTTATAAGTGATGCAATATGGTGAGAAGAGAGCAATAGTTTGGTGAAAAATCAAATTTACACAATTTGCTTCTTACACCAAATAAGGTTGATCTGCCAAGATATGTTTGGTGTGTGAAGTTTGCCTCTCTAGTTTTGCACAGGAGCTACAAGGAAGCTAACAAGTAAAGAAAGCTTATACCCCTATTAGCATTAATAATTTCCCAACCCTATCCAATGAATCATAATCAGGCTGATCCAGGCATATTTGAATCGGTATTGGCTAAAATAAGCCTATGTCTGAATCTTTATTTTATTGTGCATTCTGGTTACACCCCTGTTGTAGAAGTGCTATAAACCATGTACAAAGTACACTCCTATGTGTTTCTGTTTTTCACTTATCTGTCACGACAGATAAAAAATGAGAAAGAACGTACTGCTTCATGCTGCTTCTGGGTTAAAATTGTCCTTTAACAGCGCTTTCAAAACCAAGAGGAATGAGCGGCCTACTGCACAGGCATTACAGAAGAATGAAATTATAGCATATCCACAACACTATAATATGGTTATTTCATATAATTAGCCCAAATAAATGACAAGGACAAGGACATAATGACATGGTCATGTCACTAATGCGATGCACCAAAACCTACTTGAGTGCAAATATGATAATGGAGAATCTTCAGCCTGCTAAACATGAGTGAGTGAGTCATTGAGTGAGTGAGTTAGCGAATTAATTACAAGAAAGGAGCTACACATCTAAAGATATCGGTTCCGACTTCTTTAGAGTTACTGCTATAAATTCCACCCAATGACTGCTGGAATAGGCTCCAGCACCCTCCGTGACCCAGAAGGATAAATGGTTTAGAAAATGTGTGTGTGTGTGTTACTGTTACAGTGTGCAACCTTTTTACACATATCAAAAATGAAGTGTTTCTACTGCAGCACTTTAAAGTAATCAACAGCCAAATAATCAGGGGTCAACCAAACTGGATCATGATAAAAAAATACAAAACAATGTCAAACAAACTGTATCAGTGTAATTAGGTCACTTTATGCTTATACTAAAAATGAAGTAATTTACTGTAGTATTAAGTAACAGTCTGGTATATCTTGCCCAAACTGTGTGGCTGTATTATTTCAGAAAATACAAAAAAATCAGACTGGTACTGACCGATACCAAACCTTAATGCACTTGGATCAGATTGGAAGGGAAAACTGGATTGATGCGGCATGTCTAAATCATCAAATACTTGCAACAAACCTGTCTCACATATCGTCACTGTCCAAAAAAACAAACAAACAAGTATCTCAATTTTTTCTGATTTTCATTTTTCTACATAATTGGAGTACAGAGGCTGCCTTTTACATTGCGTGAAAATTTCATGATGAATGGACCAACTGAAATGCTCCAACATTGCTTGGAATACAACCTTTTCATATTAACTTGCATTAAAAATAAACAACTTTTTTGCCTTCTCCTGTAAAGTTACCACTTTGGAGATGCTTATTTTCCTTTGGACAGCAATAATATTATGGATCATTCCACTGAACTGGTGCAGAGTCAGAGTTGCAAAGACATTTCGACTTGTAACTTGGAGTCTGAAGTCAGATTCCAAATGACCCTTTACCTTAACTATGTTTATTTTATTAAAATAAATGACTGAACTTTCCATTTTGCCACTCACAACCATAACACTACCAAAACATGTCCAAATGTTTCAGCAGTGTAACGCTGCACAAGCACAAGAAGACATTCGCGGATCTTAAAAACGTCTATTTAATGAGAGAGGTGTAGATGGAAAGACAGTTTCAGGGCAAATCCAAAATTGAAATCCAAAAACCAGGCAAGAGTCAAAAACCGGAAAAGACAAAAACATACAGGCAACCAGAGCAGAAGGGCAAATACAAAAAGCGAAATCCAAAAAACAGGCAAAGGGTTCAAAACACAAGTCAAGAAATCAGAATAACAATGTTCAGTAAACCAGGGAAATGGCAATACCTTGCAATGAGGAGAATAAACCAAAGACTATTTAAAGTCTGAGACAAACAGACACAGGTGAATCGCATTAGAAATTAGGTGACTGAGAACGAGGTAGTTGCACGTGATTGGAGGAATTGGTGACATCATCGGGACTGGAATTATGGGAAATGGAGTCCTGGAGCGTGCTAGGCAAGGGAGGAGAACCCGGAAACATGACAAGCAGTGCCTAATTTTGAGCATAACTCAAAATTACTAGCCAGTACATGAGCAGCTTTGAACAGCTGTACACACATAAATTATACTATTTTTCATTAAACACAACAATCACTTAATAGCAGAAAGGGGACAGAGGGACAGAGATGCAGTCTCACTCCCTCCTCTAAAATGTAGGGGTGTGGCTAAAATAAGGCCCCACCTATAATTTTGCGTATATGTGGCTCATTACTATCTCAATTAATGCAAGTGATTATTAATTAAACAGTTTATAACATAATCCTTGTAAATATCTCAGGTCTGAATACTTAATCTTTTTTTTAAATAATATTTTTTTTACAGTGGCCGCTGTTTCAACTAATTCAGTATAATCCTCCATGTACATTACATACAGTTATCTATAAACATGGAAAAAGCAGTTAAAAGTAGCTAAAACTAGCATAAAGCTTGATTTTGGTCTGCACTTCTTTCCTTTTTCATTGATAACAGCATGTCATACAGTGTCAGTGTAGGCAGGTCTAATTAAGAGTACCTAAATCGATACAGTTTGAGGAAGTATGCAATGATTTAGGCATACAGTTAACACAGTGGTAATTGTTGAGGTTAGGCTGCATTAGCCTCATAACTCCAGCATAACGCCTTTAAACAACAAACATATCTGGGTTAAGTAACAATATTAAGGGAAAGGAAAAACTGTGTAAATTAGATTTTTGGCCAAACCATCACAGTAAGCGACCACAATAACTCACTTTAGCATTCTGTATTCTAATGTGTTTTTATACTTTGTGCATTCTTGAAGTATTCTCAATTAGAGGCGTAAAAGCAAATTGCTGTTTCTTCCTCTGCCGACACAGCTGAATCAAAATAATTGGCCAATTTTGGTGTGGGAGACTTTTTTCACATCTGTTTATTCCTGAAGATTTTTGCAGGTCATTAAACTGCTGAGTTTAAATGCTGTGAATTCCCTTTTAAAATATTTAAGGACTTCTGCTAAATGACCTACTGTAGTATAACGAGCAGCAGTCAGGTTAACAGTTTTGCAGTGTAAAAAGAACACACATATTAAAATGTGTTTTTTTTTGGCTTTAGTGCCAACATCTAAAACTTGGCGTGAAGCCTTTGATATAGGACACAGTATGATCTAAACCCAGTAACGGTCTTTTACTGTAATCCTGCAGAAACTGGAGCTCATCACAGCTCAGCCTCCATATTTCCCCTCACGAATACTTCTGACTGCAAGCAACCCATTCTGTTCCGAACAACAATGTTGGATTAAAATATGTACTTAAAGAAGTTTGCTAGAGGGTGAAGACAAAAAAACGTCTTTCAGGTAAGTAATAGGATAAAACGTACTAATTTCATCATTTTAAATTGAAAAATTAAAAAAAAATTGAAGGCTACCAGTGGTTCTCCCAAAATACATATAAGCTCATTTAAACCCATAGTTTGACCAAAACTGACATTTTTTTTTCCCTGAAGTGGAAATCCAGCTTCTGATGCACTGCAACAAACTGTTTTGTATCTAGCTAACAGTTGTGTTCATTCTGCGTTTTGTGAAGGCCTAACAACATGAGGTGCACTGCACAGCCTTTCATGCTGTAATTTTTATGTGCATAAATAGTAAGCAAAACACGCTTCCTCTGTAGTAAACAATTAGAGGAAAGTGCCTCAGCCCAAAAACAAATGTGAGCTATTAACAGGGCTAACCCTGCTTTCAGGTGGTCTGGGTTTTAACAGACAAAAGAGTTTCCCACCTGGAGGCACCACATAAAGACAAGATGGATGATGAAGTTGGGTACATCGAAATTTCCAATGGCCGAGCTGTGACATCAACATTATTTTCATCATGGCGGAGGAAAGAAGCAAACATCAGCATAATCAAATAACACCGTATAAACGTATTAAACGGTAAAGTCAGTTTTAATCATGTACCTACTTGTTAACCTACTTTTACTTCCACTTTGTAAAATATCATACAGGCCAAATCTGGT